ACAAGCAAGGTATTTTATGTACAATGTTTCCAGGAATTTTATGAAAAATAAGAGATACTCTCTGGAGACTAGAAAATCAGAAACCACTAGGCTAATACTCTGCCATCTGCTGAGGAGCCAGAACTTATTCCATTAGAAGGACATTTAAATTCCTTTACTTTTTAAGTGTGGTTTGGCAAATTCTAAGGGACCTCTAGATTTGGGGGTGTAGTGAAATTAATGGAAACAGAAGTGGTTTAGATGAAATGCCAGAGTTAGTCTTTCAATCAAATCTTAGAAGATTTGAATTGTATTCAGCTGGGAAAGACACCTCCACAGTCAAACATAATTTAGCAGGGAAAATTTACTTAGAGTTTCTCTGTAAGTAGAATTCTGGACTGATTCCTTGTTCCATATCCTGGATTGCTATATATTCTCTTTATCCCCTGGACAAAAAAAAAAAAAAAAAGTCAGCAAAGTAGATGATATCTTCTGTGGTTGAAATAATCATGATAATAACAAGCATCATTTTTTGTCTGTTTTGAGATAGAGTCTCACTCTGTCAACCTAGTTAGAATGCATTGGTGCTCACAGTAACCCCCAAACTCTGGGGTTCAAGCTATTCTCCTGCCTCAGGTTCCCAACTAGCTGGGATTACAGGTGCCTGCCATGATGCCTGGGTAATTTTTCTATTACTCATAGAGACTAGGGTCTTGCTCTTGCTCAGGCTGGTCTCAAATTCTTGAGCTCAAGCAATCTACCTACCCTGACATCTCAGAGTGCTAGGATTACAGGTATGAGCCAAAGAGCCTGGCAAACAAACATTGCTTAAAGTTTCAATGCACTCTAGGCACTGTACCAGGTGCTTTACACACATTAACCACATTCCACCAGATCTATAAGACAGGTTTATCAAACCCACTTCACAGATGCAGAGCCTGATGCTCATATAGTTGGCTAATGTGCTCAAGTTCACACAGTAGTAAGTGATACAGCTGGGACTAAATCCCTGAGCTGAATAACTAGAGCCCACATTGTTGTGCTCTTTCCAGACTGAGACTGACCATGAGTTGTTTAATCCATTTTTTTCTACTACCATAAAGTGTATCTCAAGTGATAAAAAGGAGTCTGGATCCCAAATACCAAATTCCTTTGGAATATATAACCAAAACAATAAGAATACCCAAATAATTGATGAGTGTAAATTTAAGAAAGAAAGAAACAGTGCTTGGTGACCATATGATCATCTACATAAGCAAAATCCGATAGCCTCAAAAGATCAAGAGCTCACAAAATCATCTGGCTCTATCCTTTTCTGTAGAAAGTAAAACTTCTAGAACTACCCTTTGCCTGGTTGGTGAAGTGAAGAAAGAGATCAGTGTGTTTTTCTCTGACCGTGCAACATCTGTCCTGGGCTCTCTGTCTTGTGTTGCAGTTTCCCAACATCGCATCACTCCCAGGACAGAGATGCTTCTCTGAAAGGTTTAAGGAAAAGAAAATGGTCAAGTGTTTTAGAGATGTGGAGTTTCTCTGGTAACCTTTAATTAAGAGACAGAAGCCAAGATGAGGACCTCTATGAATAAACACTGGGAAGATACCCACTATAATACATAGAGATCATCTAGAGTCTTAAGAAGAATGAACTCATTTGAGTAGATGGAGGAATTCCAGGCTCTGATAGATGTAAAGTTAAGGACAATATAGGATGTAAGCACTCTGATTTGTACAAATAATCAACACAGGCTCAGCGCCTATAGCTCAACCGGCTAAGGCGCCAGCCACGTACACCTAAGGTGGCGGGTTCGAGTCCCCAGCCCGGACCCGCCAAAACAACAATGACGGCTGCAACCAAAAAATAGCCGGGCGCTGTGGCGGGCGCCTGTGGTCCCAGCTACTTGGGAGGTGGAGGCAGGAGACTCGCTTGAGCCCAGGAGTTGGAGGTTGCTGTGAGCTGTAATGCCACGGCACTCTACCCAGGGGGACAGCTTGAGGCTCTGTCTCAAAAAAAAAAAAAAAAAAAAAAAACAAATAATCAACACATTGAATCCCACAAAGGCATAAATGTATTCATGATCTATGTATATATGACTTAATAAAAATAAAAAATTTAAAAAGGACAATAAATAAGAACACATGGAAGAACCCAGCCAAAATGGTTGGGTCCTATGGAGTTCTTTACTGTGTGTTCTTGTACGTCCTGAAAGTACTGTCATCACATAAGCAGAATTCCAAATAAGAATTCTCAGGAAGGTAGGACCTTGATGAGAGAGGAGCAGAACCTTGATGTGAGAGGAGCAGGTCCAGGTAAAGAGAAGGTGGAGTTACAGGACTTCGCTTTTCAAGGTGAGGATCTAAATGTGAATTAAGGGTAGCACTCACACCATAAAAGGAGGCCCCACAAAGTCCCCTCTTCTGTTGGCCCTAGGAAGCCCCAGACAAAAATGGGAGCTTAATTTATGCCTGGAAGGTGTAAGGGAGATATGAGTTTTGGTTTAATGGAAGCAGCCTTGGTTTTGCAGAGGGAAGAGACCAAGGCCCTAACAAAAATCAACGTGAAGACACTTAAGTATCAACGTGAAGACTCTTAAGTGTTACGATAGGACTCCGCCAGCAAAGGGGGCCCCGCATAACCCATCCCCTGTAAGCACTAAGACAACTACAATACTAAGATCCCTCTCATTTCTGCGGGGAAGGTTTTAGGGAGCAGCACACAAAGGCTTAATGGGTATGGCTCCAGTTCTGCAGGTAGAGGAGTCTTGGACAAAACCAGAGTCATTGACAACAATCCTGAGTGATGATGAGATGACCTCACAAAGCCCCACCCCCCGCTGTCTCATCTGTGAGGCTCAGGCAAGGTAGCCATTTGCAGCATTGCCTCTGTAGGGGACTGAGAGAAGTAAGGGTTTTGTCTGGAGTCTGGCAGACTGGGGCTAGTAGTCCCAGCATCTGCTAGATTTCAAAGTGACCCTAAGTGAGGACCTAGGGACTACGCACTGCAGAACAGTACAGTGCCCACAGCATCCCGCCCCGCCCTCAGAGACCCTGGCAGCCATGACCGGATGTGGCTCATCCTCACTTCCGCTCCGAACGTGAGGACCTTGTTGCTAGGGACGCGGTGCAGCATTCGGTGAAAGGTGGACGGTGAATGGTGGACGGTGGACCACGTACAGCCGGTGAATTCACAGAAGTGGTGTGAGGGGAAGGTGAGTCCCCTGAGTGTGGACTGAAAGGACCACCCGCACCCATAATAAAGGGAGGGCCACTTCGTCCTGCCCTGCACTACTCTCTGAGAAGCCCCGGGCCAAAGCTATAAGACTGAGGACCTGTGTTTTCATCTGGAGGTCCTTAGGGAGAGGAGGGCATTCATTTAAAGAGGAGGTGGGGACTGGGGTTAGTACTCCCAGGATCAGCTAGATTTCAAAGTGACCCTAAGTGAGGACCTAGGGACCATGCATTCTGGAACAGTACAGCGGCCAGAGGGTCCCAATCCATGGCGGCCATGACCGGATGTGGCTCATCCTCACTTCCGTTTGGAACGTGATGACCTCATAGTGAGGGTGTTCACAGAGGGTGAAAGGTACTACGGTACTACATTTACTCATTCTAAAAGGAGTAAATGTAGTACCATCAATGCTGATGAGTGACTATTTCCTCAAATAAAGTGCCACACTGAGTAGTATGCCTGCTGTCAGGCCACCAGGAGACCCAGGCAAGATAACCAGATGCATAGTATCCTGATTGCCTCTCTAGCACCTCAGGGAAATGAGGGCTTTGGTCCAAGGCTTGTGGACTCAGGTCAATAGAGGAAAGAGTCCTACATTCTACCAGGAGTCAAAGGCAAAAGTAATGTGTGAGGAATGAGGCACTTGGACTCCAGAACAGTGGGGTCCAAGAGCCCCATTTCTGCTGTCAGCATCCAAGGGCCCCAGTCAGCCTTGGCAGGGGGTGGCTCACTTTATGAGCTCGGGTCCAAGGAAAAAAGGACTTTTCTATGAGGGATGTGTCCTGTGGAAAGCAGAGGGTGCAGTCCCAGAAATGGTGCAAAGTCAAGACGAAGACTTTGAGTGAGGAGGACCATGAGTGGGAGTGCACATCATAGGGCTTCAACCTGCTAGCCACAGCTTTCAGCCTCTGCACAGTAAGGGCAGTGTGGCTGGATACACAGCCACTCTAATTTCTTCCATTGGGTCTCAGGGAGGTATGGGCCTTACCATAATTCCTCAGGAGTATAGAGGGGGAGCCCCAAGCCCTTCCAGGAGTTAAAGTATGGACCATGAATGAAGACTGAATGTACCACTCTCCCAAACCCCAAAACCCCACCCCAAATGCAAGGAACAACGGAGTCCAGTCCTATCTCTTCACATAGCCCTCAGTGGTCCTGGTCCAGGGTCGTCAGCTTGAGACTCATCCTTTTTTCTTCACGTCAGGTCTGGGAAGTTGAAGAATCAGTTAGCAAAAGGGAAGGACCCAGACTCTAGGTGTAGACATGATGAGGATTCTCAATGAGGGTGGAGGGCCAACAAGTTCAGAACAGAGAGGGTACCACAGAACTGTCAGCACTGCCTCCCTTGCAGGAATGGTTGATGGAGGTATCCCCTGATTTCCTTCTGGTGGGTCCCAGGGAGCTTTAGGGTGTCAGATTCAGAACAGCACAGGCGAGAGGTTCCAGGCCCTGCCAAGAGTAATTATGAAGATCTATATGTGAACTGAGAAGATCCTTGAACACAGAAGGAGCCCCCGACTGCCAGCCCTGCTGTCCCCTTGGGATGGGTTAGCAAGCTGAAGCCTAATGCACTTTCTAACTTCCTTTACTGGGTTTCTATGACACAGGCTCACTAAGAAACACAGGCCAGTGGTTCCTAGAGTGGTGCTCTCAAGGAAATCCACAGGGGTGGCTTCCTAAATGCTAAGGTCAGCTCTGCCTACTTAAGGTCCTCACAGGATCTCATGCTTCCTCCTCCAGGTCCTTACATCACCTGTCCTGCCCACACTCCCACCTGTGGTCCCTGACCACAGTCAAAATGCCTCGTGGTCAGAAGAGTAAACTCCGTGCTCGTGAGAAACGCCGCAAGGCTCGAGATGAGATCCGGAGTGCTCAGGCCACTGTAGAAGAGAAAAAAGAGTCAGCTCCTCCGACTTTTGCTTTGAGGACCGCTCCCCCCAGGCCTCCTACTGTGAGTGGTCTCCAGACACTTCAGAAAGCTCCACCTCCCATCACTGCTGCTGCAGATGTTTCATGCACAAGATGTAATAAAGTTATCGAGAGCCAAGGTCAGGAAAACGCGAGTTTCTCCCAGGCCTCAACCTCCACTGAGACCTCACGCAAGGATCCTCTAACCAGGAAGGCGGGGGTGTTGATGCACTTCCTGATGGAGAAGTATAAACTGAAGAAACCCTTTACAAAGGCAGAAATGCTGAAAGTTGTCAGCAAAAGGTACAGGGACCAGTTCCCTGAGATCCTCAAATTAGCCTCTGAGCGAGTGGAGCTGGTCTTCGGTCTTGACCTGAAAGAACTCAACCCTGGCAGTCAATCCTACACCCTTATCAGCAAGCTAGACCTCAACGATGATGGAAGTCTGAAGAGCGACTGGGAATTTCCCAAGAATGGGCTTCTCATGCCTCTCTTGGGTGTAATCTTCTTAAATGGCAACTGCGCCTCCGAAGAAGAGATCTGGGAATTCCTGAATATTTTGGGGGTCTATGATGGTAGGAAGCACTTAATCTTCGGAGAACCCCGAAAGCTCATCACTCAAGATCTGGTGCACGATAAGTATCTGGTGTACCAGCAGGTGCCCAATAGTGATCCTCCGAGCTATGAATTCCTATGGGGTCCCAGAGCTCACGCAGAAACAAGCAAGATGAAAGTCCTGGAGTTTTTGGCCAAGATCAATGATACCGTCCCAAGTGCCTTCCCGTTCCATTATGAAGAAGCTTTGAGAGATGAGGAAGACAGAGCCCGAGCCAGAGTTGCATCTAGATCTGGCAACTTTGCCAAGTCTAGAGGGCGCGCTAGGGCCACAGGCGGCAGCTCCTCCCACCCCTAGTGAAGTCTGCGACAGCTACTCCACTTTGTTTTTGAAGCTAGTTGCCAACCTTTTTTTTTACAAAGTGAGAGTCTGAAATGGAGCTGGAGAGATCATAATATATATCTTATTGGGGTCAAGATACACGTTAGTATCTTTCAAATGTTCTTTTAGTAAAATGGGTATTTAAATTCAGAATCCGTGTTTGTGAATTACATGGATCAAATGTTTGTTGCTGTTACCAGGTTTACATGTGAGAGACTCAGTATTCTGTGATACATTTTAACATCTTTAAATCTTTCTTTTTGGGGTTCGACAAGAAAACATGGCTGTGGAATGGGGATTTTCTTGGAAATGTCTGTAAGACTCTTGCAAAACGTAGAGGAAAAGAACGGAAAACATAGTCAACTTTTGGTTTTTGACATTTACTTTTGTTTCTTAAATTTCACAATTACTTTTGTTTTCCTTTCTGTGAAATTCAAAGATCTATATGCCTAGTTTTCCTTAACCTATCCAAGAACTCAATAAAATGAACTGGTAACAAATTGTATTCCTTGCTTGGTGGCTTGTTTATTCTTATCGTTCATTGAGCATCTGCTCTTTGGAATGGTCCGTGCTAGTAGTGATGATGGTAAGGTAAAGAAGACCCTTTCTCTGTCCACAGATTTTTATATTCTAATACACTATAACACACACAGGACAAGTAAAACAAAGAGGAAGGAGGCTGGTGGGAGGACGTCCAGATGAGAGCAATCAAGTGTAAATTCCCCCTGGTCAAGGCCCTTTGTCATGTGGGACTTGAGAGGTCATTCTAATTTAGCTCCATGGTGGGCGAGGTGAGGTTGTGGTCACCCTGAGCAGGTGTCAAACACTCAGGTGGGAGCCTTACAGTTGAAAGACTAAGCCTGGAATGGAAAACTGCTCTTAATTTTGGGATGTGGGTAAAGCTGAGGGAATCTCTGCCAGGGGTAGGAATGGAAGAATACTGCTTTCTTTACCCAGTGCAGGTGAACACAGTGCACACACTAGGTTTTTTATGCATATTGTTTCCAGAGAGTTTCTGAGAAATAAGGGTGGTACTTCTTTGAGGTGAGATGCCAAGAAGCCACTGGGCTGGCACTCTGCTCTCACCTGATAAAGACAGGGTTCCATTAAAGAGTTCAAGGTATAACTAGATTTTATTGGTAGTAAAATAAGTGAAAATAAGGGTGCTTTTGTTGGGAGGGCTCCTGGGAGGGAGGGAAATTGTTAGTTCTTGATGTAAAATCTTTTTTTTTTTTTCATAAAAAGAGAAATTTATTTTCTCACAGTTTGGAGACTGGAAATCCAAGATCAAGTAGCTGCAGGTTCCGTGTCCGGGCCCTGTTTGATCAATTGCATCTTTTCACAATGACATCCTCATGTGACAAAGGCAGAAGAGCCAAAAGAAGGTGAACACTGTGTCCTCACATGGCAGAAGAGCAGAAGAAGCCTCCTCAAGCCCCTTTACAAGGCACTAATATGTTCTTGAGAGCTTCAGGACCTAGTCACTTTCTAAAGTCCCCACTTGTTCCTTATGAATTTTTATTGATACATAATATTTGTACATATTTCTAGAGTTCATGTGATGCTTTGTTACATGCACAGAAGCGTAATAATCAATTCATGGTATTTAGGATATCCATCACCTAAGTATATATCATTTCTATGCATTGAGAACATTTCAAGTCCTGTCTTCTAGCTATTTTGAAATATATAATACATTGTTGTTAACTGCAATCACCCTACACTGCTGGAGGTCATTAGAACTTACTCTATCTAACGGTATGTCTGTAACCATTAACCATTCTCCACCACCCAAACACTCTTCCCTGCATCTGGTATCATCATAGTCTCTGCCTCCCTGAGATCAACTTTTTTAGCTTCCATATGTGAGTAAGAACTTGAGACGTTTGCTTGATGTAAATTCTAAAAGGTATGGATTGAATGTTGGTAAAGTCCCTGCCCCCATATTAAGTAACAGATTCTCTCATGGGGAAAATTTACTTAATGTTACTTGCTTAACAGCATTTGGGATTATTCGGTTTTCTTTGTCCTAGAGCACTGCATGTTCTTTTCTATCTCTTGGAGGACAAAAACAATTCCCAGAGATGAAAGTAGTCTCTTCTAGGGTGAATGTAATCATAGTAAAACTGCCATTCTTTAAAGAAACAATATTTACCAGTCACTGTGCCCGGTGTCTCTTACATACATTACATATGTTCCAAGAATCATACAAGATGCAGCTTATCAAACTCACCCGGCAGGGGAAGAAACTGCAACCTTCTCAAGTTCACATAGCTGGTAAGTGACAGGGCTGGGACTAGAGCCCTGATCTGAATTCCTCTAGCATCCACACTGTTCTACTCTCCCAACCTCTGTCTGAGGCCAACCTCTGTCTCTTAATTTTCCTCACTACTCCACGAAGTCTCTCATGTGGTAAGATGAACCCTGTGGCCAAAGCACTGCAAGAAGGCCTATAGAAGGAAGGTAAAGATGGGGACATAATTTAAGGCTGTCTATGGGGTTCATTGGCCTGGTAGCCTCCTGCCTCCTGCCTCAGCGTCCCTTCAGAGCTGACTCCGTGCTTGTCCCTTCACATGGGTCCAGCAATTTCCCATATGCTAACTCCCTTCCCCTGGGTGTTCCCCAGTGTGCCCTCTTGTCCAAGCTGGAACTGGCCTGCTGGTCCTCTCTTCACTGAGTCCTTCTCTGAGCCTGCACCTCCTCCCACAGTAACAGACAGCCCCCATTCACTTGCCTTCTTCCTGACATGGAGGGTTCCAACTGCATGGAGGTCCTGTCCTTCACTGTGGGCTCTCTCTGACAGCAACAGCCCCTTCTGTGTAGTTGCTCACTTCAGATAGTGAATTTTAGACACCTAATCACCCCCCCCCCAGGTGCCTGCACCATACTGTCAAAGAGTTCTCAAATCTGCTGGTGATTAGAGTCTGACTTGACACAGAATCTACTGGTTCTTGGTTTATAACCTTGAGGCTAGAGAGAAGGGTTTTTAAGCCACCCTGATATTGACAGTTGAATTTCAATGGAGTATTTTGAGACTGGCCACGGAACACATATCTTATGTGGTCAACAACAAAAGCCTTCCTACAAAGAGGTATATGAAGAAAAGACAGGAAATCACTGGATAAGCTAACATCTACTAAGCCTGAATCCCTAAAACTTTTTCTTGGAGTCCTCAGAGGTAGAAAATGATTCTTTGGCAGACATGCTAGTTTTGAATTAAAAGAAAAAAAAGTAATATGCCATCCTTCCTTTTACTCTTGTCTGAACCTGGCCCAGGGGAAAATGCTGTTTTTTTCAGTGTGTTTCATTGTCCCTGTTCAGGTGTTTGGGTAGTTTGTAGCTATAATTATGATCATGCTCCAAAAAGTAGGAGAAAATTCTCAGCCAATTGAAATTATGCAAGTTTATTGTAAGGGGTCATGCAGAAAGGTATTGCTGAGTAATAAGGGTGACCCTCTCTGTAGAGATTTACAGGGTCATTTTAAAAATTAGCTGTGACCCTGTGTTTGAAAACATCTGCTGCATAATAAGTACCAGAAATATTTGGCAAATTTCCAGGCAAATTGGGCCGTGTTAGAAACTCTTCCAGAAAATGAAAAGGGTTGTTGGTAGAACAAATTGTAGTAGTTGCTCTTTACTGGACATTTACTATGCAATAGTTTATGGTAGAGACGAACAAGTGCCCATCCACATGAGGCCTTGCTCTCCTTCCTGGGCTCGTAGAGAGATGACATTCCTAGTCTACTTATAGTTAGGAAGGGTCATGTGGCTAACTCTTGCCACAGAAATATTAGTAGAAACATGTTTGTTACTTCCAGACCAAGGCACATGACAGCCAGCCTGCCACCTCCATGTAGCACCAAACATTGAGAACCCATATTGAGGTCTGGAGCCACATGATGGAAGCAGCCTTGATCCCTGGGTCACCTGACCGCAGAGACCCTCTGCCAACTCACATCAGATTTTATGTGCACAAAAAATAAACTTTTGCTATAATAAGCCACTAATATTTCAGCTTTTTTTATGTTACAACAGTTATAATTTACTTTATCTGGTTAATACACAACGATTATTACTATTGTTAGGCCTATTTAGATATTTTAATGCCAAAGCTAATAGTATATAATCTTGTCAAAACTTCAGTACTGGTAAATCACAACTCCCACCTCATAGCATTCTTCTAAAATTCAGCCCCCTTTACAAAAGTAACTATAATTAACAATCTGGCATGTGTCATGTTAAAGCCAATTTAAAGCTTTTTCACACATAGATGTGCCACAAGACTATATTGAGTTTTTAATATGCCTGAGTAACAGTGTACATACTGCTCTGCCGCTTGTCCCTTAATGCAATGAATGCAGGATCTTTCCATAGCAGCTCATACAGATCTGCCTTACTTTTTAAACTACTTCCTAGAATTCTCAAGTGTGTATATGCTATATAATTAGCTGTTCTCCTCCTGAGAGACACATCAGTTGTTTCCAATTTGTTGTTATACTCCACAGAATTGAAATTAACACCTTCAAACATGAGTTCTGGGGTAAATACATGTGTTTCCTTCTTGTACACTTAGCTGTACAGAAGCTTCTCAGTTTAATTAAGTCCTATTTTGTTGTTGTTGTTGTTGTTGATATTGCCACAGAAGTCTTCTTCATAAAATCGTTCCCCAGGCTGACATCTTCAAGAGTTTTACCCACACTTTCTTCTAAGCTTTTCATCATTTCATGCCTTAGATTTAAATCTTTTATCCATCTTGAATCAATTTTTGCAAGTGTTTGTGAAAGTTTCAGGTCCAGTTTCGATGTTTTATATGTGGTTATCCAGTTCTTCCAGCCATGGTGTCATAGCTTGTTAGGCCTAAACTAAGGTGAAAAAACACCAGTTAACTCCTGACAAATTTGGGGCCGCAAGCCCTCAACAAAATGGAATAAGTCTGGTTCACTTCCAAGATAGATGGGAAAGTACTCACTGACTTC